GTCCGTCTGTTGTCACGGATTTTTATTAGACAGATAATCTCCGAAAGTACTCGACCGATTGTTGTGAAATTTTGTACTTATATTAAGAATATCATGTAGATGGTAAAACGCTAACCAAAATTTGTCGAATCATCCCCACCACTAAAGCGATGACGTCACTTCAAAATTGTACATAGTAAATGGGTTTTCAATTGTATAAAATAACATAGTCCTACACATGTAGTTTACAACTCTGAATCGACTTTTCACCCGAAACGTCCAGATTTTTGGAAAAAAAATCAAAATTATAAAACAACATTTTGAAATTTAATTTTTAATCTGCTAACCAGAATGCTTTGAAATGTTGCAGATGTTTTAAGGCTATAAAGAGCATCATAAATCTTTAGTAAAAAAATATTTGCTTATCCCCTCCAAAAACTTAATGACGTCAGCTCAAAAGTTTGTGGAATAAATCATATCTAAAATGTACAAAATATGATGAGTCTGTACTTGTGAACTATCACTCCATTAATATTTTTTGGATTTGCATATACAGGGTGACTCAAAAAAATTAATGAATGCGTAAATATATTTTATTGATTTAATCAGGAACTACAAAACCGAATGCTCTGAAATCTTGCAGATGTTTTAAGGTCATAAAGAGCATAATAAATGTTTAGTCAAAATATATTTGCTTATCCCCTCCAAAAACTTGATGACGTCAGCTCGAAAGTTTGCCGAATAAATCATATCTAAAATGTACAAAATATGATGAGCCTGTACTTGTCATTTATCACTCCATTCATATTTTTTGGATTTGTATATACAGAGTGACTCAAAAAAATTAATGAATGCGTAAATTTATTTTATTGATTTAATCAGGAACTACAAAACCGAATGCTTTGAAATCTTGCAGATGTTTTAAGGTTATAAAGAGCATAATAAATTTTTAGTCAAAATATATTTGGTTATCTTCTACAAAAAACTGATGACGTCAGCTCAAAAGTTTTCCGAATAAATCGTATCTAAAATGTACAAAATATGATGAGTCTGTACTTGTGATTTATCATTCCATTCATATTTTTGGATTTGCATATGCAGGGTGACTCAAAAAAATTAATGAAGGCGTGAATTTATTTTATCGATTTAATCAGGAATTACAAAACCGAATGCTTTGAAATCTTGGGAATATTTTAAAGTTATTATAAGCATGGTAAACTTTTGTTCAAAATGTATTTGTTCATCCCTCCTAAAAAAATTGATGACGTCACCCTTAAATTTTGCTGAATAAATCCTATCTAAAATGCAAAAAATATGATGAGTTTGTACTTGTGATTTATCATTCCATTCATATTTTTTAGATTTTCTTAAGAGGTGGTTCAAAAAAATTAATGAAGTCAATTTATTTTATTGATTAAATTAAAGGCAACACTTATTATTAGTATTACACCCCAACCAACCCAATTTGGTAGACACAAAATTTGTTAAAGGAAAAACTCGGTTGAAACATAAGGGTAGCACGCTTATTTACATCGACTTTAACATTACAGACCTGCATTTGTTTTATGCGTTCACTTGATTCCGCGAATGTGAAATAGACATGTTTATAATCAACCAATTGTGAATTTCACCGTCAAGAATTAAAATAAAACCCAATGTTTTATATAATAAGCGGAAGTCGAAGCAATAAAACCGACGGTCGTTTTGTTTACAGTTTCTGTGTTTGGCTCTCACGTATGCTGTTACGCCTGTCATCTTAAATTAACAATGTTTATACATACACGATTTTCAGTTGCCTCTGATACGTAGGTATACGTGAGTAAATTGTTTCGTTATTTTATTGATTATTACAAATCAATATTCAAACGACCCAATTCATTTTCCCGAAAATTTGAGAATATAATAATTTTATTCTTAGTATTACACTACATCTATCCCAACTGATATACGTGTCCTTGCAAAAATGTTGATGACGTCATCGCAATTTTTTTTTAAATTCCCACTACAAAAATGTAATGAGAAAAAAAACACAATAGGCATGCAGTCGTCAAGTTTCCGACAGCGAGGGAAGTACTGTCTAAACTCTTTAGACCAATTTTTTTTTCTTAATATAAGCATGTCCGTACTTTTCGTTTCACGACAAGATACTGAAAACATGTTTAAAAGGGTAAATTTGTAGAGAAGTGTATGGGATAAAATTTACCATTTTAAACATGTTTTCAGTTTCTTGTTATGAGGAAAAAACAATATATATTTTGAAGAAAAAATGATGCAAAATATAAGCCCCACCTACCCATCCTGTCTCAATTGTGATGATTTTTCTTAATCGTCGACAGCCAAAGGAGCGGAATTTATTTGTAAAATTCGTATTTTTCTACAAGAATCGCTTGCCATGTGAAACATGTTCTTCAGTGACGGTGTTGCTCAGAGAAAACTATATGTATTAACTAAAAAAAAAAACAATAAAAAAAAGGTAAGCCCCACCCCGATCTCAGTTCTTAATCGTGAAGAATTTTCCATTCGTTGCCAGACTGAGGGGCGGAGCGTAATTACAAAATTCATATTTCCTGTTTTAAACACGTTTTAGGTTTTCTGTTGCGAAAAGAAGATTACGAACAAGAAAAAACGGCAAAATATTTTGTTAAATGTAGACTTCTTTTCGCGAATTTCTAATTTATTATTAATAAATATTAGTGAAAATGTGTTGTGTTAGTACTGTGAACACGAACGAAAGCGGATATTTTTCCGAAAAGGACCGAAAACGGGGAAGTACGACTTCAGTTTTAATTTATCAAGTTCCGTGATTCGTTTACTCGACAATGTTTAAATTTTGGAAAAAATTTCGAAACGGTTGAAGTTGATCGGTCAAAGCTATACATTTTCACGATATAATTAAATAAAATTTAGACATAATTAATATTATTTATAATGTTCAAATATGGTAAGTAACTATTAATATATGATAATCAAACCGAAAACAGTTTTACTAAAAACACGACGGCATTAAAAACAAAGCAATTTGTTTAAATATTGTTAAGTTAATCCTGAAAAAGTCTAATTTTCCGGCCAAAATATTAAAAATAATTTTTGCAATCTCATCGTGACGTGCGATGACGTCACTGTCACGTGTGCTACCTGTCCAAAGGTCACGTTTTTCGGTCTTTTGTGTTCAGTTTTAATTTCTGTTTGATGGCGACAAGATCGTCGCGTCTTTTTGGCGTAAAAGTGGAGCAATTTCGCGAATTTCTAATTTATTATTAACAAATATTAGGGAAAATGTGTTGTGTTATTGCTGTGAACACGGAAGAAAATGGATATTTTTCCGAAAAGGACCGAAAACAGGGTAAGTTGGACTTCAGTTTTAGTTTATCAGGTTCCGTGATTCGTTTCGTCGACAAAGTTTAAATTTTGAGAAAATTTTCAAAATGATTGAAGTTGGTCGATCAAAGCTATAAATTTTCACGATATAATTAAATAATATTTAAATATAATTAATATTATTTTTAATGTTTAAATACGATACGTGTTAATATATGATAATTAAATCGAACACCGTTTTCTTCAAAACACAAAGTTCCTAAAAACAAAGCAATTTGTTTAAATATTATTAAATTAACCCCGAAAATGTGCAGTTTCCAGGCCAAAACATGAAACATAATTTTTGCAATCTCATCGTGACGTACGATGACGTCACTGTCACGTGAGCTACCTGAGCAAAGGTCACATTTTTCGGCCCCTTGTGTTCTGTTTAGATTTCGGTCTGATGGCAGCAACATCGGAGCTCAGGTTTGGCTTCTTTTCACGAATTTCTAATTTATTATTAATAAATATTAGTAAAAATGTGTTGTGTTGATACTGTGAACACGAACGAAAGTGGATATTTTTCCAAAAAGTACCGAAAACGGGGTAAGTACGACTTCAATTTTAATTTATCGGGTTCCGTGATTCGTTTACTCGATAATATTTAAATTTTGGGGAAATTTTTGAAAGGATTGAAGTTGGTCTGTCAACGCTATAAATTTTCACGAAATAATTAAGTACTTTCGGAGATTATCTGTCTAATAAAAATCCGGGACGGCAGACAGGCAGACAGACGGACAGACAGACGGGAGACCTATTTCTTCGTCTTCTAGGGGTCATGAAAGATCGAGAAAAGGTAAAAGTACAACCCAATTTAAACTTAATGGAAAATCCTAACCTTTAGGCTTCTTGTTCTTCTACAACTTAGCGAAGAATCCCCTCATCTTCAATTAAGAACCCTCTGCATAAAAAAAAGTTCCGAGAATACTTGCCTAAAAATTCGTTAAGAAACAGATAGACGGAATCGGAAAATCGAAATTTTCACACCAAAAAACAAGATATTCCAAGTTATTTCAGCCGAGAAAACAGAGTAAAATGCAGTAATAATAATAAGTAGACTTGTCCTATTTGAAAAACCTTCTTACATTTTATTAAATATGTACAATATTATGTCTGATTAATCATTATTAGCCTGATTTTTGTGTTTTGCTACAATGTGTTTGTTTTTGTTTGGCATAAGTTACAAATGCATAATTTTTATAAATCTAATAACCCTACACATAAATAAATAAAGAAAGTATGAATTGTAGGCATTATTTTATCACTAGTTTGAAAAGTAGGTGTACAAACGTAGCGATTATTGGTGCTGATATTCTTATCAACTAATTCCACACATATTTATTTGCCATTTTCTGCTATAATAATAACTAATTCCAGAAGTGTTTGTAGTAATGTGACTAAACTTTAATCAATTAGCTGCACAGAAACGATTACTGAGACAATTAGTATTTCTACAGCAAGTGATCATAAAATCCAAGCCACCTTGATATGAAAATTAAAAAAAAAAAAAAACAATGGAAAAAATACACTTTGGTCGCAGCCTGCTTCGCGTGACCGCTGCCGGAACCCGCTCAAACTCGTGGTGCAAACCGCGTTCCCCGCACAAAGAACCCATCGGTAGGTAGCCGTTGCCTGATTGGAAGGAAGAGGGTCTGCCCAAGGCACCGGCACCGGCAGTCAACCAGACTACCATCGTACCACATGCACACATTCATAGTCGCTTTTCGAACACAGGATGTGCTCCGTTGCAATCGTTATTTTCGGTAGTTAAGAAAAGCAACTCTTCTTATTTTGGTTCCGCGGTGACGGCGTCGTTCTTTGTTTAGTGCTAAAATGGACCGAAGCTAATCGCGTCAGTGTTGACACTTGGATAATTACATTATTTCAGAGGAGCCATGGAATAACCACAAAAAGGTAAAGAATGTCCGGATAAAAGTTTCCCACAGTAAGAACTGCCTTTGTGTCGGAAAATGCCACCAAGTTGTGCGAGCTGGATTAATTCCGCGTTGTTAGAACGAGAATGTTATTTTAGTTTTTTTGTTGCGAATATTGCGAGCTAAGCGATAATTACCGGTCGGTTTGGTTTATTTTGTTTAATTTGCGCTGTCTGCTCTGGCAAGGCGTTAAAATGTTAATGTACCCCAAACATGCAACATTTTCCTGGATATAACGGTCGCTAACATGCTAATTTCGATAAATTCGATTCATGATTCATTCAGGTGACGAGGATGGTACTTGTTGATTCCTGCCGCGTATGACTAGCACCTGTAATTTTTATGTTATCGTGAAAATTCAACGTTAAACACGGCAACAGGTTTCGGAAAAAAATACATTAAGTATTTATTTAAGATAGCGATTCGGTTCTCACGCCAAGGAGATAACACAGTGCTGATATCGACAGGTGGATCGCCTTTTCTCTTTTTAGCGAGCTTTCGATATTCGCTGCAAAATCAAAGCGCGTTTTGCTTCTCAAATTTCACTTTGAAGTTTTCGAAATTTCACCAATATTTTTGACCACTTCTAACCTGACCAAAATTTGCTTCCGGTTAACTTCTGTTCTATATGTTACTAAAGCTCTCCAACAGCAGGAAAGAGACAATGTGGTTCTAGCTACTTTATTCTTAGAAAAAAATATAAAAACCAAAGCTTTAGTAAGAGAGTTTACCTAGTTAATTATTATTTTTGTGTTTTTAAGCCATGGAACCTCATAATGTCAATTTTAAAAACAAGACAAACCGTGATAATCCGTTTCACTACTTACACTATGTACAAATACAAATTTTTTTAATGATACACCCTATATATTTTTACATATTCAGATTAGCCTCTTTCTTAGCCGCTGTTCCAATTTTTTTGAAATTTTTTGACAATGGAAGGTTTTGCAAAAAAAATCGCGACAGGATTATTTTTAAAGTGAATCTTACAAAATTTTATAAAAGGATAAATTATGGTACACGCTGGAACACCCTGTATCTAATTCCTTATTTTTTGTTCTCATCAATTAACCAAAATGTAGAAACAAAAGAGAACTAGAAACAGAATAAAATGCACTCATAAAATATAGGGTGTTCTATTTGAAAACACTGAAATATACTTATTTAAAAATTGCAGTAATTAAAAAATGTATATATAAACGTTCTGTATATGAAAATTTCATTTCAGTTATGCCACAATAAAGCGCGTAGCTTTATTTATTTTTCCGCAAAGTATTGCAACACAGATGTTAGAAATAACCTTACTGCGATTTTTTTTGTGGACCCTTCCATTGCTAAAGAATTTCAAGAAAACTGGAATAGCGTGGCAACCTCGCATCGGTATTTCAAAAATAAACTCTAGTTGTAAAGCCAATCAAAATATGTAACACTGTATAGGATGTTTCATTAAAAAAAAAAACACAGTTGTTTTTTTACACCTTAACAACAGAACACTCTGTATAGTTAAAACTAATTTTAGAGTGTAATGTTCAAAGAACCGTATAACTTTGGTCTTTGACTTTTTCTTCTGTTTCTAATAATTAATGAGATATTGAGGAACGCGTGTTTATAGCTCACCTGTATGTTAATCATCCATTTTCTGCAGTCCCGGTAATCATTTTTTTCTCTAATTTGAGTTCCAAAACAACGAGCATCCTCATTTAGATTTCATTAAAACTGAACATTTTTTTATTTTATTGGAAATAGAGAGATGGGCGTTTTTTCAGCAAAAATAATACACTGATTGAAAAAGAAAACATTTGAGTAGAAAAAAAAAACGTTAATTAATACAATGTGCACGAAAATTGAAGGAATTTGATTGCCACATATATTTTCCAGAGGTGATAGAATTTTTCGGGATACAGATTCACATTCATGATCGAGAAAATCATCTAGTAGGCCATGTAATTTCGTTTTAAAGAATATGATGTTGGTATTACAGCTGTTTGACACTTTATATGACAGTTATTTGACCGTTTGTGTCAACCTAAACAGGAACGTGTTACCAACATAAATTTTTGTATAATATTAAATTATCAACCTTGCTAAAAAAATTTTTATGGGTCGTATGGTATAGTCGCAAAATCTTGTGAACTAATGTTATTAAAAAAAGAAAATGTATTTAAAAATAATCTTGAATGCGTTAGGGTATTCAGGAAGTTCCATTTGGATAAATTAAGAAAAACATAAATCGATTAAAATTAGAGTGGAAACATTTCGAGAAGAACACACCAATAGTAAACTGTGCCGCTCGTATCAACAGCGGCATTCATCATCAACTAAACAGTGTATTTCTCATCGTATTTCGACTCTAGTGTAATATTTTAACATTTTGCATTGGATTTATTTCTAAATAAAATTGTTTGAAGTTACCTCGAATAAATACCCAATCAGAATTTATTTATCCAGTGTCACATGCTCCTTAATTTGTGATTTAATGATGTACTCCTATTTTTAGAAAAAAAAAAAGTGATTGAAGGAATTTATTTACCTTATTTTAGTAAGAATCGATAATGTACTTGCAAAAATGAGTTTGTATTGTACATTATATATACAGGGTGTTTACTAGACATGCGGCAAAAATTCAAGGGGATATTCCTTGGATTATTCTAAGATTTTTTGTCTTTGAATGATTTTTGGAAAGATGCTTTGTTTCGAAGACAGAAAGCGATAGAAGTACATACTCCCTTTTTATTTCTGGACTAATTTGAAAACATTGGTGTATACCACGGTGGTATAAGTAAGGTGTTTCAACTCCATTCATAAATTTTCATAAAATGGGCGCTTAAAAACTGGTATCGTAGTAGGTTGTGGGAGCTTAAGATGACCGCCACCATGTGGTAGTTACTTGTACTATTTGCGCTATCGACTGACGTTTGACATGACATTTGACGTATATTTCCCCTCATCTTTCAAAAAGATGTCACAAAACCTAACCTATAAAGCTGACATTTATGACAACTTACTTGCATTCAAGGACATTTTTCCGCAAATTTCATTCATTATTGTGGACAGTTTCATCATAGTATCCAGTAGACGGCGCTAGGAACTTTAAGCTCCCGTGGCCTTCTGGGATCTCTTCGAAAAAAGACCATTTTAAACTCGGAGTTCGCAGACCTGTTATATATGGCCGTGGTGTATACTATTCCAGTGTAAAATAATGATTTCAGAAATCGGTTTTTGTAAATTGAAACTGGTTACATATAAAATGGATTAATAAAGTATAGTGTTTTTTCCGAAAAGCTCTTATTACCCTGTAATCTCCGAAACTATTGGACCGATTGTTGCCAAATTTCGTACTATATTAGAACTGTCATGGAGATGGTAAAACACTAAAATAAGATATTCCTCCACTCGTGTGTTTTTTCTATGATTTTTGAATAATTATAGTAAAAATGACCTCAAATTCGTAAATCTTATAAAAATAGTTTCTGTGAGCTTATCGTTTTTTTTTGTTTTTTGTTTTTGTTCGAACAGAACCCATTTTAACAAAGATTTTTTCATTTTTCTAGCTCATTTGAAGACATTTAATAAAAATGACTTCATATTCGAAATCTGGGAAGAATTCCCTACAAGAAAGTACTTTTCTCCCTTATCATTTTTGGGAAAATTCAGGAAAATTATGTTTCCATTTTTCGCTTGGTTAAAGAAATATCTAGCACAAACATTGTTTCAAATTCGTAATTAGACAATGGAAATTTTTGATACGTTTGCATTTTTTCACTTGAATGACGCTTATGATGGTAATTTTTTTTTCCGAAATTTTTAAAAAATGTTTTCCATTGTTTCTTGGTTCTTTGAAGAATACTCGTACTCTCAGACAGTCGGAGCATTTTTTTTTTAATGTTTTGCTTTTTTCTTGATTTTTTGAAAAACTATAGCAAAAAAGGCTTCAGCTGATTCGTAGCTCTTAGAAATGTTGTGTTTAAGATTATCGTCTTTTTGTTAGAATAGAATCCGTTTTAGCACTTTTTTGAAAAATTTTTGGATCACATTTTCTCATTTTTTCGAGACCATTTGAAGAGATTTAGTAAACTTGGCTCCAGATTTCAGATTCCTAATTCTCGAAAAATCTTCTATAAGTGTCCCCTTGTTTTCATTTGAATAAATAGTCTGAACATTTATTTTTGGAAATTTTTTTGAAAATGTTAGTCTTTTACCTTGATTTTTGAAAATGCAAAACAAAAATGACCTCAGATCCGTAAATCTAGAAAATATTTTCTGTAAGCTTATCATTTTTTTTTTGTATGAACACAACCCGTCTTAACACTTTTTTTGAAAAACTTTTGGATCAAATTTTTGCATTTTTCTGTCATTTAAAGGGATTTAGTAAAAATGATTTTGGATTCAAAACTTGGGAAGAATTCCCCACAAGAGAGTACTTTTCACTCTCTAAATATAGCCTGTATGAGTATATCATATATAAAAAAATTTGGGAAAATTTTTGGAAAATGTTTTCTTTTTTCTAGATTTTTTAAAAACTATAGCAAAAAAGACTTCGTGAACCTAGGAAATATTATCTCTAAGATTATTGTTTTTTGTTCGAATAGAACACGTTTTAACACTTTTTTGAAAAATTTTTGGAATAAATTTTTTCATCTTTTCTAGACCATTTGAAGATATTTAGTAAAAGTGACTCCAGATTTTACTAAAGAATAAGGGAAACGTTTGGAAAACTATTTTCTCATTTTTTTTTCGCTTGATTAAAAAAATATGACGAACATTGTTTCAAATTCGTAATTAGACGATGGAAATTCTTCATAAGTTTTTCGTTTTTTCACTTGAATGATGTATGTTTTAATTTCTTTTAGATTTTTTTGTTTTCCTTTTTTTCTCGACTTTTTAAAAGTATAGCAAAAATCACATGAGATTCTATTGTCATTTGGATAAACAGTTTGAACACTTTTTTTTTTGAAAATTTTAGGAAAATGTTTTCCTTTT